GACTTGGTTAAACAAATTATGGCAATAATATAAAATCATTCCAAATGCTGATATAAAATAAAAGGTAAAGAAATAGGAACATATTCACATTACAAAATTAATTTTTAAAAAGTTTATTGGGAAAAATGTATCAAATCTTTTTATTTTTCATCACTTCACATAGAAATTCCACAAAGAAATGTACATATAAGAAGCCTAGAATGATTTATACTAAAATTTTTAAACTCTTTAAATTTTATTTTTCTTATCTCCATTCTGTGTTTTTAAATGTTCCACACTTACATTACTTTTCTATTCAGGAAAAAAATGTAAAAAGGAATACCACCAGTCCTTCTCAGTGGCATGGTAATCATCCCTTCATAGAGAGGGGACACGAGCATGGCTGTCCCCTTTGAACAGAGGCTCTAGGCCCCTGTGTGCACATTTCCAACAGCCCATTCTCTGTGAGACCAGAGTGACGGTAAGAGGGATTTTGTACTTGGAGTTCACCCCTGCAGTAAATCTTTAGGACTGTGGGAATAGGTGCTTTGCATTCCCTAGCACTGGAGAATGTACATCAGGTTTGACATTTTGTCTACATCCTGTGGGAAGATTGGGGAGGAAAGGACTTCATTAATCTAAACGCCACTCAAACCCCACGGCGAGTGTTTCTGTTCATAGGTGAGTGTTTTGATGAGTTTGCTTTATTTTTTTTCCAGCAGAAATAAAGGGATGACACCATTAGTTCAATGCATGGCACATGGGGTGGTGGTGAACTGAAAGCATCCTGCAGGGGAGTCCAAATGGGATGGGTGTGAGAAGCTGGATTGTGAGAGGGAAACAAATTTGCCTTATTTTTTCCCTTACTTAGCTTTCAGTTTTATGAGGATATAGAAAAATCATGTGACCAAACCTGATGGGAATAGTCTCTAAAACTGAAAAATAAAGCGATGATTTGAATTTCCTGAATTCCTCTATTTCCAAATATAATTCCTATATAAAATTTCACTGCACTTTGGGGAATCACGAAAACAAATGAATATTATAGGATAGAAAAAAGGAAGATGTTTTAAAAATACATGTTCATATGCTTGCATCAAATCTTACAAGTCAGCTCACAATGGCAGAGGTACCACTCCGAGGTACCTTTTTCACGTTTTGTTATTTGGTGGCATTGAAAGATCAGGAAATGTTTTTAAATGCACAAGTGTTTTACTGACTTTTTACAAGGTCCCCTTTGGCTTCAGAAAGCTTTAGATGACATACACGGGCTCTGTGCAGATAGATGCTTCTGAAAAGTTGATGTGCGCTCACCTCGAGGTTCCTGGGAGTGTTTACTTCATATGGCACATCTTGGAGCCCTTGATCGATGGCAGTAAAGTCAAAGGAGGCTGTAATTCTCCGACAGCCTTCTTCAGACTTGAAGCATGGAGGCAGCACAGAAAACAATAATTCAGTGTCACAGGTGATTGCTGTCTTTCCTGGGCCTGCAGCCACACCTGTGAGGGACTGGGATTGTGGTGCCATTTATAACTGAGAGTGAGGACGGAGCCAGGGAAAGGAATCTAAAAGACTTTTGGGTATTTCTGTTTTTATTTCACTCTTGGACAAGCTGATAAAAGAAAATGGTTTTAAACTACCTATTTGACAAAATGATGCACTTATTTAACCAAATTATCTCTAAAAATACTAAAGGGAAATTTAATAATCACAAAGACTCATAGCTCTCTCCCTTTCTAAATATAGCTCCCATGTTCCTCTGTGCCCGGGGAATCTCTTCTCCTTTTTTCTCTCAATTTCCCTCCAACCCAATCTCCTTGGTTTTTCCTCTCCTGTTTCTCATTCTTTTCCAGTATATTTTTATTTCTTCCTGTAGCAACTCTGTTCTTGCCATTGTACATCAAACCAAGTCAACTGTGGCCCTTCTCATTGTCCAACCTTACCCCAATTCCACACAAAAAGGTGCAGAATTTACCAGAACACGGGGAATTCTCAGGATTAGGTATGATAACTCGAAGGGTTACACGTAGTTAACTCATCTGACACATGAGAAACCCAAGCTTTGGAGGGTAAACAACTTACCCAAGGCCACATAGCCTGGAAGTAGCAGAACCAGTCCCCAAACTTCCTGATTCCTAAGCTTGGGCTGTTTCCAGAATGCACGGGCAGGCCCCTGGGGAGGGTTCTGGGTGGATGAGGAACAGAATTAAGTCATGTTAACCAATTGCCACATCCTCTCAGATTTTTAGGGTGGATCTGCTTCCCTGCCCAGGACAGGAAACAGGCCATCTCCCAGGAAGTACCTTGTGGTATGTGCAGCAGAAAAATCTCCCATTAGCACATCTGGAAAAAGCACTTTGGTTCCTAGAGGCCCACACATCATGGCACAGGCCCCTTTACCCTGCTGTGTGAGGGGTTTGGGTCCTGGCTGCGTCGTAGTTCCTTTATTTCTCAGAGGGCTTTGGGAGAGGCCTGGTGGGGGAGAATGATGGCATCTCCTCGGGAACCTTTCCCAGGACTGCTGAGGTTCAAGGCCTACATCTGCTCCAGGGTCTTTCTCTTGGGATTCTTCCCACTGATTCTCATGGATGTTCAGGCCAGGACCTATTCCCTAAGCTTAAAACTTATGCTGTTAAAGGACTTGTAAGAATCAACAACTCTGGTAGTTGGAAGTATTTCAAAAGCTGTGAGAAAGAAGTATCCCAAAATATGTATGTAAATACACGACCATCTTCTCTAGAAGGTACTGTTATATAAAATTCAAAACACCACCACCACTTTTAGGTGAGTCTAGGAGGCATTTTGGTAAGTGAAGGAGAAAAGGGCAGGGATAGAGGAGGCTTCCAGGTTTCTGCAGAAATTCTCCCCCACAGGTAGGTGTCCCTGATTCTTCCAGGGCCTCCAGAGTCAGAACTTTGCTGTCCCTGGCTGCAAGATTCCCAGCCTGCCCCACTGGAAGCTGTGGCCAACGTGAAGACCAAACACCGGGAGAGGAAGGCAGTCTTGCACCTGTCAGTCAAGGGAGTTCTCCAAGGAGGGACACTCCCTGTGTTCCTAATTCATGCTCCTACACATCTTTGATCTGCTGTTAGCATCGTGACCCATCAACAGACAACTGTCTCACCAACGCTAAAATGGAAGGTGAAGCTGAAGGAGACTTTTAGACTAGGTTGTCAACTGTTCTTTGCAATGATATATATATATTTAGATTCTAAAAAACATAAATATTAAATATGCTGTTAAATTTTTTTAGCAGCAAAACACTCAAAAAATTTATATAGCAGAAAAGCACTCAAATAACATTGAATATACATGTGCATATAATTGATTTGTGACATCAGTCCCTGCTGGATGTGTCTCCTACAATGACTGTGGAAAACAGGTCAACAAGCTGGGGATAGGTCCCTGGCTAGGCTGGGAAAATACTTCCCACGTGTGTTATCTAAGGCCCAGGGCCCTAATCTGGCCTGCAGGTTGCTTCTGGATCCCAGCCAGAAGTAGGAACTCTACTTTTCATGTACATAATGTTTATTAAAATAAAGCCACCTGTTAGGCTGGGGCTGGGGCTGAGTGGGACAGCACTAGCATATGCAAGGCCCTGGGTCCCATCCCTAGCACACAGGAAAAAAAAAAAATGTTGTGACTACAAAAGTTCTTATGTGTCAGCAAAGTTCTCAGATGGGATTAGGAGTATTGGAGAAAAAGGTGCAAGTATGGGGTCTGTTCCCCAGTGTTCTGAATTAGTGAAAGGAACAAACCTTGCTTTAAGGGTTGTCTTTTGCTTGGTGTGGTGGCACGTGCCTGTAATCCCTGCGGCTTGGGAGGCTGAGGCAGAAGGATCACAATTCAAAGCCAGCCTCAGCAAAAGTGAGGTGCTAAGCAACTCAGTGAGACCCTCTCTCTAAATAAAATACAAAATAGGGCTGGGGATGTGGCTCAGTGATTGAGTGTCCCTGAGGTCAATCCCCAGTACCAAAAAAAAAAAAAAAAATTGTCTTTTGAGGACTGAGAATTCTAGAGCACTGAAAAAAATTAAGGCTGGGGTTGTGGATCAGCAGTAGAGTGCTCACCTAGCACATGCAAGGCACTAGATTTAATCCTCAGCACCATATAAAAATAAATAAATAAAGGTATTGTATCCAACTTACAACTAAGAAAAATATTTAAAAAATAAAAAAACACATTAGTCGTGAGGCATGAGAATGGAGATAAGGGAAGACCTTGAATGAGCTTCTGTTCTTTCTGCTCTTATTGTGGTTGAGAAGATGAAGGAAAATGGTTTTTGACTGCTTATTTGATCAAACGATTTGTTTACTTGAGGGTTTTTGTTGTTGTTATTGTTTTGGAGTTAAACCAGTGCTGATACAGTGTTGTGGGGCATCCTTGGAGTCTTGTCCATGGGAAAGATCTGGTAGGCTGGGATCCAGAAGCCACCGTGGGCTGGGTTGGGGCCATGGTACTAACCGCTGGGACTCAGACAACACATGTGGGGAGTATTTTCCCAGCCTGGCCAGGGCTTGTTGACCTGTTTGCGACGGTCACTGTAGGAGACACATCCAGCAGGGACTGATGTCACAAATCAGTTATATGTACATATATACATTATATATATATTCAAAGTTATTTGAGTTTTTAAAATATTTTTTTTTGGTTGTCAATGGACCTTAATTGTATTTATTTATTTATTTTTATGCGGTGCTTAGAATCAAATTCAGTGCCTCACACATGCTAGGCAAGCTCTCTACCACTGAGTCACAACCCCAGCCCTATTTGGGTGATTTTATGCTATATAAATTAACAGTATATTTATAATTTGTTTTTTTAGAATCCAAATACCATGCAAAGAAGAGTTGACAACATATTTTCTAAACATAGCTGAAGAATTTTAAGAAACCAAAATAAGACTTTAGAAAGAAAGAAATGTATTTGCTTTAAGTGAGTGAAACTCTATGTGCTTGAGGTTTGAATAAGCCTTAAACTCTATCATTCATTTTTAATATTTGTCTTTGATCTGCTTTTAGCATAACGACAGATCAGACATGGGAGTGACTACTTGAAGAACCATTGATGTGGAAGACACCAAGATTCACTATCTCAAGTCCTACCAGAATGCTGAGGGAGGAAAACATTCCTTCCAGCCTGGTGTCCGGAGGAAATCTCTTAATCAATTATGTTGGTATTAGTAATTTGGAGTCATTAAACTGTGGACCAGAATAAGATTGAAATCTCAGACTAAAGAGCTACATACAATCTTGATAAAAACCTAACACTAGGCCTGGGGCTGTAGCTCAGTGGCAGAGCACTTGCTTAGCCCATGTGAGGCTAAGGTACTGGGTTCTATTCTTAGCACCACATAAAAATAAGCAAAATAAGGGCTGGGGACATAGCTCAGTTGGTAGAGTACTTGCCTCACGTGCATAAGGCCCTGGGTTCAATTCCCAGCAACACACACACATACACACACACACACATACACAAAGGCAAAGTGAAGGCATGCTGTCCATCTACAACTAAAAAAATAAATAATTAAAAAAACTAATAATACACTAACACCATATATCCAAACTGTGGCTTTCCTAGAAATTGTCTATAAGACTCTGTCTTCATAGAGCTTCTCCAGTCTTCCACACACACCCCTTCCATTGTTTTCTACAGAGCAAGCAGAACTTAAATAGCCCCAACTGTTTTGTATCTCCAGTTGCTTTTCCCAAGGAAAACATGTTGTCATCAAGGGTCTGTATATTGTGAAATTTTTACAGTTTATCAAAAGCTCTTCATTAAGAGAAATGTGGGCCAATAAGCACAACAAAAACAGTCTTAGATACATGTGCATGCGCACACACACACACACACACACACGTCCTTCAAAAATTCAGAACATTCCTGCCTGTGTCAACATGATCTCAGATAAGCACAAACACAAGAAGCCAAATACGGTGTTGACGGAGGTGGTCAGTAAAGAAACAGCATCATGTTTTGTTTGCCCTTTCTTCCTCCAACCTCATGCATTGTATTTTAATGCATTTTTATTATATAGTCAACTATCATCCCAATTTGTGTCTACTTAGGCATTTTAGCAGGAAACACAGTTTCTAATTTTCAAAAAAAATAATTGCCTTTATTTATTGGACTGTGAATTGGCAATAACTTAACTAAGATATAAAAGATCTATGAAATGCACTTTTAAAAAATTGCATTTAGAGTTCATGTAATGATTTAGTTTAGATTTTCATTATGACCCCCACATAGACATGAATTACACATCAGCTTATTTTGATCACAGTTTGTATCACCATTCATAGTTACTGGCTTTTTGTGGAGCTGATGGGTTAAAGCTTTTTAAGTTAAAAAAATCCAGATATATTGCTATGGTTTCAATTACCAAACATCTGCGTATTATTCAAAATTATTCCAGTCTATCATCATAATGCATTTAGGTAAATTTTTCTATTATGTATGGTACCAATTTTTAAAAAAGAAAAAATATGAATAATTAAGAAGGAATTTATTAAAGCATAGGAAGAAAAGAAAAAAAATGGGAACAAAATTTTTCCTTGGATCTGATCCCAAGAAACACCCAAAGCCCATACATTTGGTTTCCTCTCCATGTAAAATGGCTGTGTTCATTCCCTTTCTTGTGAGCACAACTGGCTTGTTTGCCCAGGTGTAGCCACTGACATTTGATTATTGCAAGCCAATGCACTGATGGCAGATCAGAGCCTGGCAGGGAACAGTATTTGACACCCAGGGACCTGAGCAGCAATGAGTCAGAAGCAGGTGAACTATGGAAGCTGAAAGCCCAGAAAAACCCAAGGGCCAAGCAAGTCCAGAGGGCCAAGGGGCCTGCACCCATCAGCTAGGAAAGCTGGTCAGAGGTCAAGTGCCAAATCAAGACATGGTCAAAGGCTGAGGCTTGCATTCATTTGCATTCCTTCCCCCAATTCTGTACCTTCTGCAAGTGCACCCTTTCTTTTTCTATAGTTCTTCAGAAACTGCTCCACTTTGAGTGTTGTTTTTGCACCCTCTTTATTTTTCCCTGCCAATTCCAGGACACAGCTATTCTCCTTGGCTTTGACTTATGCTATTTACCACCTGTGCAACTCATTTAGGACTTAATCTTATGGTGTCTTTTGACATCTTTGGAATGATTATTTTAGTGTGTCTGGTTTCTCCAAATCAGACCATGAGTTCCTTGAGGTTTTTAATAAAAACAAATAAATAAATCAAATAGAGGTATTGTGCCCATCTACAACTAAAAAAGAAATATTAAAAAAAATTGGCAAACCAGGAGGAATATGGTGGTGTGGATGGGGGTCTGATTGTTTCATCTTAATACTTATTGGCTTAAAAAAGACAAGAGGGCTGGGGACAGGCTGGGCTCAGTGGAAGAGGGTCTAGTGGACCTGATCAATAGCAAGAGGCCAGACAGGAGCCTTATTTCCAAATGTCAGACTTGCTTACCCATGATGGAGTGTCTGGCCTTTGGTTTATTACATTTTCCCATGTGCTTATTATGTGTATATTATATATAATATATATGTATTTATGTATATTATATATATTATGCATATAAATATATATTATATATATAAATACACATAATTATATATATAATACACATGTATATATCTCCAAGAAAACAAATTTTAAGTATGAATACCTTTCAAAATTTTATATGTACTTATATATATAATATATATTTATATGTATTTATATATAATATATATTTATATGTATTATTATTATATATGTATAATATATAAAAACACATATAATATATATTATATATAAATACACATAATGATATATATATCTCTAGGAAAACAAGTTTCGAGTATGAATACCTTTCAGAATTTTGAAATCAAATACAAAAATAAAAACATTTTTTGGTAGTGGCTCCAAAATAATGCCAATTTTAAAAGGATTAAACATAAATGTTCCTGAGTGGAGACAAGATTGTTCACTGAGTCTGAGGCAAGGGTTGAGACTTCTACCGTCAAGTGGTCCTAGCGCAGCCTTTCTGGGGATATGGACATAAATTCCTGGTAGTGTTTTCTGACTATATATCCTCATCCCATTTTTCTCTCCAATTCTATTTTTTTTTTTTAAAAAAAAACATGTTTGTACAAGCTTTTCTGGATTATAGAAAATTCTCTCCTCTTTCTCAAATTTGCAAGTATTCTGTTCTTATGGCTTTTCCATATTGTGTTTATTCTTGAGCCTTGACAAGCCTCTAGTCTTTGGTTTGGGGCTTTCATGACCCACTTATTGCTATTCCCTGTGGTCTGTACCTTCCCTCTTCACTGTGCTGTCTTCCCATGCACAGACCACAGCTCAATAGAAATACTCCCCCAGTGGCTACTTTGGCACTTTGGTTTCTTCACATTAGAGCTGTTCATTTGGGGACATTCCTGGCTTTGATGGAGCAATTCTATGTCCTTGAAGGACTTTTGGTGTCCCTGGCTCCCCTCCCACTGAAAGCTGGTATCACCATCAGTAAACAGAATGAGAAAAAATGTTCCCATGAATTTCCACACCCAGTCAAGTCACCTGTTTTAGATGCTGCTTCCCCACCCCGTATCCCGAAACACATACACTTTTTCACTGAAGGACACTGTTCGAGCTTTGACTGGTGGGTTAGAAAGTTGGTCGTATCTTTAAGCTATTCTTCCTTTTAGAGAGGTTTTTTTTTTTTTTGGCCTTGGAATAAGTCATAAGCTATTTTATTTTGTTTTGTTATCATGAGAAATGTCACACCTCTGTACAAATAGAGTACTATAATGAACCCCCATGGATCTAACACCTAATTTCAATAATCATCGACTCATACATAATTCTGTTCTCCCTATACCACTAGATAATTTAAGAAAATCACAGACATTATTTCATTATCTTTGGGATAAACTTTCTGATATCTGTGTGTGTGTATGTGTGTGTATGTGTGTGTGTGTGTGTGTGTTCCTGGGGATTAAACCCAGGGTCTCATGCATGCTAGACCCTCTACCACAGAGCCCAGCCTGTCCCCAGCCCTCTTGTCTTTTTTAAGCCAACAAGTATTAAGGCAAAACAATGGGACCCCCATCCACACCACCCACATTCCTCTTGGTTTGCCAAACTGTTTTTTTAAAAATATTTGTTTTCTAGTAGTAGATGGGCACAATATCTTTATTTGACTGATTTATTTTTATGTGGTGCTGAGGATCGTAACCCAGTGCTTCATGCATGCTAGGCGAGCGCTCTACCACTGAGCCACGACCCCAGCCCATGGTTTGCCAAACTTAAATCCAGTTTTGCAGCTGCTTTCCTTGCTTCTATCTTCTGGGACAAAAATGCCAAGATAAGCCGAGAGTTTATCAGATGCTCTGTTTTCAGCAGAAGGAGACTTTTGGCAGAGCGTTTGGATTGCACATATAATGTTTCTACTCCCATTTGCCTGTGCTGGTTTGGTGACCTGCATTAGGTGACTGGCTTCCACATCTTCTCCCAGGTGGAGAGAATTGGAGTTCAACACCACCCAAACACCATTTTTGTATCTATCTCTCCCGGTGTCCCCTGAAAAGCCCTCTGCCAAGCTGGGAACTGAGTCCATGATTTAACCACCCTTCTTCCTGTTTAGCTCCTTGCCTGTCCTACTGATGTGGAAAGGTAGGTAAATCTGCTAATGTACTGAGGGACAGACCATTCCCAGCCCAGTTCCTAATGCAACCAAACCCAAGGAGCCTGCTTTTCAGTTTTGTCCACAGAAACATTTTGAAAATGAGGGACGCACGTTAAGTCAGTTAATGGTGGAGTGCTAACCTGCTACAGAAGATGAGAACAATAGGTTCTGTCATGACTGATTCTTAAATGATTAGGATAATCAAGTGATAGGGCCTACTTTCCTCCTGCTTCCTCCTTTGGGGATGTCTCTGCTGGCTATTTGATTGCCTGCTGGTTAGATTTGATTAACACTGCTGACTTTGGGGGAGCTCTCTGAAAATGAATTGATGAGCCACATAAACGCTAAACTTGACTTTGAGATCTCCGAGCTCTTCAGTTTGTACTGGGAATCATGACCCCAGAATACAATTTTGAGTCAGTTCTTGCACTGAATTATAGCCTTCCTTTTTAAAATTTGTTCCCAAATGCAACTCCCCTCCAACTCCTTTCTAGATGGGTGTTTGTGGCTCTTTTTTGTTTGTTTGTTTGTTTGTTTTTGCAGTACTGGGGATTGAACCCAGGGGCGATTTGCCAGTGAGCTACTTCCCCAGTCCTTTTTTAAAAAACTTACTTTTTTTGTTGTTGTTGTTGTTTTGTTTTCTTTTTGGAGAAAAGGCCTCACTAAGTTGCCAAGACTGACCTTCAACTTGTGATCCTCCTTCCTCAGCCTCCTGAGTTGCTAGGATTACAGGTGTGCCCTATCACACCCGGCTAGATGGGTGTGTTAGAAGAGTATTAATCTGTGTTAGGAGGAGCCTAACTCCACTCTAGGGAAGGGATTTAAATGCTCCTAGCAAGTCCTCTAAAGGAATGCTTAGATCCTTCTATTTTATCAGTAAGTTAATCTGTTGTTTAGAAAAGTCTTATCAGAATACTTTCCTCTCCTGAAGTTTTTCCTCCTAAAGAGAGATACAATTTTGACTATCTTCCTTTGCCTTTCTCACATTAACCCTAGATGGTAAGGTGCATTAGAATTCCCAGTGTTACTGATGCTGGCCAAACACGGACAGTGACTGAAGCAAATTGCCTCAAAGCAAACAGTTCATTAGCAGAGGAGTCTGGAACCTCTGTCTCTGTCAGGATGGAAACTTCGATTTGTTAGGCCCTGTCCTTTCATTCCATCTGCTCTCACCACTATCATGGTTTTCCCTGACCAGCATGACCGTTTAAATGGCCATCCGTGACCAGTATAGATCACTAGTTCAGTTGTGGTATGCATGCTCACGGAGACAAAAAGGATCCTTATCATTGCCAAACTCTCAGAGTTGTTGTGGCAGCCACAAATCCTAGTGTATGTGAAAGTTCTCTGTGAGCTATAGGGTCCTATTCAAGTGAAGATAATGCGGAATTCTTTTTTTTTTTTTTTGTGGTGCTGGGAATTGAACCCAGGGCCTATGTGCATGCAAGGCAAGCACTCTACCAATTGAGCTACATCCCCAGCCCTCAAGCTAAATTCTTTATGTATCATCTCAGTTAATCCTCAGAGTGATCTTAGGTTTTGTTGATTATTTTCACATATGTTACAGTATAAAAAGAGCCAAAACATTACATGTGTTTAATAAGGCAGCTTTTAGTGCTATGAAGACAACTCTGAGCCAATCCTACTGCAAATCATTAATGTCTTCTAGAAAAATACAAAAGGAAGAGGAAAACTGAATGAGCACTGTAAATCAAGACACACACACACCTACCACAGTATTCTCTGGCATTCCTAATTCATCCCTCACATAACAGGGATTTCTAAATCTGATAGTCACTGGGATTATATACCTGTAATCGCAGCAACTCAGGAGGATGAGGCAGGAGGATCACAAGTTCAAGGCCAGCCTCAGCAATTTAGTGAGGTCCTAAGCAACTTAGCAAGATCTTGTTTCAAAATAAAACGAAAATAAAAAGGTCTAGGGGTGTATTCAGTGTAAAGTGCTGCTGGGTTCAATCCCCATTAACAAGCAGTAAAAATAAAAATAAATCTGATGGTTAATTTTAGGTGTCAATTTGACTGGATTAAGCATACCTAGAGAACTGGGAAAGCATTATTTTTAGGGGAGTCTGTGAGGGTGTTTCCACAGGAGACTGAGTTGGTGGACTGAATGGGGAAGATGGGCCCTCAAGGTGAGGTGGGGACCTGAAGAGAACAAAAAGGCAAAGGAAGAGCAAGGTCTCTCTCCTGGAGCTGGGACATCCTTCTCTTCCTGACCCTGAACATCAGAACGTCAGGCTCTCTGGCCTTTGAACTCCAGCACCTATACACCACTGGTCCCTGTTCTCAGGGCTTTGGCCATTGACTTTCCTGATTCTGCAGGTTTTCAGTTTTGGCATCTCAGGGTCTCCGGTGTGCACATGAGATACCTGTATGGGGACTTGTCAGCCTCCAGAATGGAGCGAGCCAAGCCCCTAACCAGCTTCCCCCTTATCTATCTCGCTCCGTATATCCTACTGGCACCATCTCCCTGGAGAATCCTGATTCACACCATGGTATCTAAAACTATATATTGTTTCTTTTTTCTTTTTCTGTTGAGGGTGGTACTAGAGATTGAACCCAGGGGTATTCTACCACTGAGCTACCTGCCCAGTCTTTTTCCATTTTTATTTTGAGATAGAGTCTTGCTAAGTTGCTGAGAGTCTCACGAAGTTGCTGCAGCTGGCCTCAAACTTGCAAACTTCCTGCTTCAGTCTCCTGAGTTGCTGGGATTACAGGCTCGAACCGCAGTGCCTGGCTAATATTTATTTATTTATTTATTTATGGTGCTGGGGACTGAACCCAGGGCCTTGTGCATGTGAGGCAAGCACTCTACCAACTGAGCTATATCCCTAGCCCGTAATTTTTTAATAATATAAGTAGAGCACAGTGGTGCACTAATCTCAGTGACTCGGGAGGCTGAAGTAGGAGGTTTGCAAGTTTGAGGTCAGCTGCCGCAACTTATGAGATCCTGTCTCAAAATAAAAAATAAAAAGGTCTGGGGGTGTAGTTCAGTGGGAGAACACCTCTGGGTATAATCTCCATTACCAAAAAAAAAAAAAAAAATTCATAACAGCAGTGACCTACAATTTGTAAATAAGAACAAAGCTTATCTTCTTTAAAATCATCATTTTAATAATCATTCATTGCCATTTCTTTGGTCAAAGTTCCTTAGGTGGAAGCTTCTTTTCTCACTCCTATTCTTCAATATAACAAAAGAAGAAGCTTCAAATGAAGTTAATATAAAACCAAAGACAGCAAAGAGGAGAACCAGAGGCTGAGAAGAGGAAATGCCAACTTCTTACAGGATAATGTGACTTCCTTTTTAAAGACAAAAAAAAAAAAAATCTTTTCAGATTGTCTTGTCAAGGCATAAATGTGGCTCCTAAATGTCTAACGAAAGGGAAATAATTTAACAAATTATAAGTACTTTCATACAATGCAATATTTTGAGCCAATTAAGTGGATTTTTCTTAATTGGATAAAATTTTAGTATGGAGAAATCCTCAAAATAAAATGACAAGTGATAAAAATCAGGATAGAAGCCTGATCACTTGGAAGGTAAGCACACACACACACACAAAGAAAAGATATGCATGATCATTATACAAAATACATGTATCAAGATGTGAATTTGTTGTCAACATACCTTATATACAAACAGAGATACGATAAATGGTGGTATATAGGTGTATTAAGAATTGTATGCAAAAAAATAACAGAGCTCATGAATAATGGTATAATTTGGCGTGAACATACTTTATATGGAGAGTTACGAAAAAATTGTTCTGTGAATGGATAATTATGAATGTAATGCCTTCCATATTGCCATGTATGTAAGAAATTTTAAGAAAGAAAGAAATATAAACAGAGGTTGTTACTAAATGTTTTGCTACAAGATTTGGGGGTTTTATGTTTGTTTGTTTGTTTGTTTGCTGTGCTGGGGATCAAACTCAGGGCCTTCTTCATACAAGTGCTCTTCCATGGAGCTACACCCTCAGTCCAAGTTTTAAAAATATATATTCTTCCTCATTTTCCAAACATTTATGAGCATGTATTTTTTTTTAAATAAAAAAATGGCTGCAAAATAGTGCAAAAGTTGAATATTGTGGCTTCAATGTAGATAACACTTTGGAGTCAGGAGTATAGGTCAGTGATAAAGCACTTACTTAGCACATGCAAGGCTCTGGGTTCAATCACCAGCACTGAAAAAATTTTCTCAAGACTATAGTTTCCAAAAGTAAAAATGTGATTTTTATAGTCCTTTTTCATTGTGAATAGAAATACGAATTTTCTATGTTATTCTGCCTGATTCTCAGTGTTTCTTTATATATTCTTATTGCACTAAATTGTTCAGATCTTCCCACCATCAACAGATTTTTTTCAGGAATACCTGTTAAATGTTTTGGGCAAATGACTTTTAGACAACTGAGACTCAGCCATGCAAAATAATCCTGTAGTTCACTAAGAGTTTTCTTCCAGTTTAAACAAGAGCATTTATATTTGCTAAGCTGAAAGTTCTGCCAAACCAAGAAAACCCCTTATGGAATAAAAGTGGCAAAAAATAGGACTGAGATGCATGTTTATGAACAGATATTTTAATTTTAAATGTTAAAAACAAAGACACTTATTAATTGGAGATAAACTCTGGAAAACCACTTGAAATCTGAGTATGGAAACTGATCGTCACGCAGGGCTATTCATTTCTATCTTGGAAATTATTTTAAAACTTAATTAGAAAAACAAAACTTGGATTTATCTTTCCCCCAAAGTTGGCCAGCCTTCATGGAGAGGAGAGAGCACTGATCACAGAACCCCTCTGGCCCTGGCTTTCTGGAGACAGGTTTATGAGGAGGTGTGTGCTGGGGAGCCAGAGCTTCACCTCCAGGGTTCAAAGGCATAGATCATGTTCCTTGGAGCTAGCTCTGTTTTCTGTCAGACCAATTCCTGGCCCCTCCCCTGCTCTCATCTGCTATCTTAGGAAACAGCACTCCTCAAATTCTTTGCATGATTGGAGGGGGTAAAGGGGAGGACCCCATCCCCAGATATAACCCCTCTTTTCATCACCAATAACTAGGGTCAGGTCTCCATATAATCCAGAAGAGGAAGTGCAAAGCTTGCTAAGGGACTATTTTGCTGAAAGAACTGCAGGATTTAGCCAGTATGTTTCAGGAGGAGCTGGGAAAGTCGGTAGGGATTGGACTCTGAGGGTGCTGGATGGATGACGTTGGAGCGTAACGTCCAGCAATGGAGAAATTATCAATATGGGAGCATTGAATACAGGATTTAGCAGCCTAGCAAAGACCCCACAAGTCAGGGCAACCATGCTTACAGGATGACTCCTAGAGGCAGAAAAAACAGTACTTTCCATCTCTTCTCTGTACTTTGAGTTGTGTCTCAGTTAGTAGATCCAGGACTGTCTGGAGATGCAGAATCTGGGCTCTGTTAACACCCTCTTTTCCCTGTGATCTTTGAGCCTTTATAGCTTCTCACTGTTGTGTACCTATTTATCTTCACTTTTTAAATCCCTAACAATGAACCTCTGTATTAATTTCCCTCCAAAACATCTAAATTGGTTTCTGCTTTTCTGATGGGACCCTGTCAATATAACTGATCATAACTTAGGATCAGGCTGTGAAATCACTCCAGCTCAGGGAACGTTTGTGAAGGAAGGGAAGACATCCCCCAATCGGAGGCACCATCATAGACATCTGTCTCCATGGCAGCAGGGACGTGTACAAGCTGCAGAAACCAGCCCCTGTCTATGCCCAGAGATTTACAGTGAGTTCGTAATCGTGTGTCAAAAGAAAAACAGAAGCTGGTTATCATAATAATCCAGGTTTGATGGCAGTTAATTGGTGGTTTGTTTATGTTATCAGAGAAGCCATTTATTTCCTTAGGAATGAGCTTTTTGATACCACAGAGCTTCAAACAATGCTTGTTCCTGTGAGAAGAAGCCGTTGGGGGAATGTCTTAATTTAATAAAACTTGAACAAAGTCTGATTATAGTAGGGCATCTCCCATTCCTGTGCTAAGCATATGTACACATAACAGCTCTATACAAGGCATACAAAATGGGAAAAACCCCAACTCTAGAATAATTACTAGCTGCATTTTCAATGGTAAAATTTTCAACTGTACTTATTAAGTCAGGACCATAATTTGTGAAATAAAATAATTACCAGCTGCTATAGTTCTGTCACCAATGGGAAAATCTAAAGGATAGAGGCAGGCAGAGAACTGGTACCTGTTGTGTCCATTAAAAAAAAGAAGGGAAACATGATGGGCTTGGTCCATGGTGGACACAACGTGTTTCTTAAATGAATGGATGCCCACCTCAAATCTTCAATGAGCAGAAATGAGTAAAGCATTCTGCCTAAAGTAAATAGGACTTTTTAAACCGGGCTTCGAAGAATGGCAGGACATTGTGCTGACCGGACCAGGGTGGGATTTCAGGAAGACCCAAGAGGGTACAGTGCAGGGACAGATCAATGGCCAGGTGAGGCCAGAGGAAGTATAAAGCAAGGCTGGCTTTGGAGGTCACCTTAGGCAGCTTTGTTGGTATCTTGTGTTTATGTGTGTTGGAGGGGGTTTGGAGGCTTTTAAGTTGAATGACAGTCAGATCTGTGGCTTGCAAGTTCCTTTAATGTGCAAGTTCCATAAATATTTGTCAAATTGACTTTTTAAAAAGATAATGGAAGAGCAGCTAAAAATCTTCTGAATATAATTACAGTGCTTTAGGTTGGGAACATTTTCATGCTAGGTGTGGTTAACACCTATTACTGGTTTCCTAGCAACCATGCATTCTTTCCTGGAGAAATCTGAAGGGTCACTTGAACGTCTCCACTTCAGAATTATTCCATGGAATTACTCTGAGACACATTTATTGAAGTTGTTCCCTTAACTTCCAGAACACAGGAGCCGGGCTCAGAAGGGATGATCGAGGATTTGGGTGGGGTAGGTTTGTGCTCCAGCAGAGAGGGTCAGGGAATACAGGATGGGAGACACAGTGAAGCACCCTCCTTCCTGCCCATTTACATCCGAAGGTCATTACAGAAAGCTTAGACAAAGGAATTAGTAGAGAGTGGTTCAGATGATACGTGGGGCAGAAAATCATCAGGCAAGATCCCGAGGACCAAGATGCAAGGAACTAAGGGCTTATCCAAAGGCATCAGCAAGGGTGTAGCACAGGGCTAGAGGGCTTGCCTCCAATGAAGGCGGCTCTGGGTTTGATCTCCAATATCCCTAAAACAAAAACAAACCATCATCAAGAGGCTGAGCATCATTTCAGTCATCACTGTGAAGGGTAGGAGAATATGCCACCCCCAAATTTGCCACTTTGGCATATGGATTATCTTCATTTGAAGGCAACTAAAAAGAAGTAGGTACAAGAAAAACTCTCTGGTCCCCTTTCTACCAGGAAGAGCAGGATCACTTACCTCCAGAGACAACCTAGATGATCAACATCCTAGACATAGTACCAGAGGAATGGGATAACAAACTTTGTGAAAACTAGCCCTCATTGCCATTAGTTCCCCCCATATATTTATTTCTCCACAATTTAGGGGCTCCTGAAAGCCCAGAGTCCTTTTCCTTTTTCTTGTCACTCCTCTTTAAAAAAAAAGAATTACTCTGTTGCCAAGATGCAATATAAACTCAAGTTCTAGCTATCCTTCTAGTTACTTCTCTTTGGCTGCTCCCCTGTGTAGGCAGGATGTATATGTTAATAAGGGTTTTTTCTCTTGTTAATCCGTCTTTTGTCAGTTTAGTTCATAGAGGTCCCAGCCCATAAATCTGAAATGGGTAGAGGGAAAATTTTTTCTCTTCCTCTAGTGCAGAATCGTCTTTAAGGAAGTCGTTGTTGTCCTCCATTTATAGTTGTGTAAACAAAGACTCACAGAAGCTAAACGACTTGACCAAACTAGCCTGACCAAGGCCTCGTCACTCCAGAGACACTGGACATAAGCACAGAAGAGAACTTCCCAGCTCACCATGGTGGCCTGTGGCCAGCCAGTGCCAAGCCCTGCATGCTGTTCCTGGACCTCTCTTTGGCTCTTGGCAATTTCCTATTTCCTCCTCAAAGCACTGCAAGCTTCCTGTCCCCATTCCCCTGCCCCCCATCCCTCCATGCACCTTCTGCCTCTCCTTGTGAGCATCCTGGGCAGGATTACCTTCCTCTGGTAATCTCTTAAGACCTTTGAGATGCAGTTCCCAAGAATCAGCCCTCAGCCTCTTCTTCTCCTCCTACAAACCCTCTGCAGCAACTCCTCTGCTGCCCAGGCCTCAAACACTGCTCACAGGATGACAACTCATGAAGTTTCCACTTCAAATAGTTTATCTACCTCCAGTTCCATAGTGCTCAAATTTGTAAGCAAGAATGTGTAAAGTAGAATCTTTGGACCAGAAGCCTAAGCATCACCAGAGGGTTCATTACAAGTGTGGAATCCCAAGTGCTACCAAGACCTTCTGCATCAGAATCTGCATTTAATCAGACCTCACAGACAATCTGCAGGCACATAAACATTTGAGAAACACTGTCCAAGACCAGAAGTTCTCTATATAGTTCCTCTATTGGCAATGTCAGGGCAGCCTGAGAAGTTGTTAGAAATGCAAACTCTTAAGTCCAGAAATCTTTACTGAAGACGGTCTTCCACGTGATTTGGATACATATTTAATTTTGGAAATCAGGGTTGTGGAGTGAGTTCTTCAATGTGGCTAACAGCGCAATTACCTGGGCAGTTTTTAAACTGAAAAATGCTTCGTCCGTCTCCAGTGTCCAACTTTGATGGGTCTGGGATTCAGCATAAACATTGAAATGCAAAATCATCATCATAATCATCATCATCATCATCATCATCATCATCATCATCTTTCCAAGCAATTCTTTTTTTTAGTACCTGGGATTGAACCCAGGGGTGCTTAACCACTGAGCCACATCCCCAGCCATTTTTTTGTATTTTTTAGAGACAGGGTCTCACTGAGTTGCTTAGGCTTCTCTAAATTGCTGAGGCTGGCTTTGCACTGAGATCCTCCTGCTTGGCCTCTCCAGTGGCTGGGATTATATGCATGAGTGACCACACCCAGCTTCCCAGGTAATCCTAAGGGACAGTAGTTAGACGGCCCTGGCTCCTACTGTTCTCACACTACAAACACTTTGCAAATGATGGGACCCTGGTGCAACTGCCCCAACCCTGTTCACAAGCTGACAACTCATTCAATTAGGTCTCCAGCTGCCTCCAGCCCCATAGTTCTCAGGTTGGTATCTGGCTGTCCTTCAATCATTTCAAATACCAAAGTAGAACCCACCATTTCTATCCTGAAGTACCCAACTACTTCAAAAACCTGTAGGGACTTCTTCAGGAAGGGACACTTTGTTTTCAAAACATGGCTACTGTATTTTGTTTCCTTTCAGATCTCAACAACCCAACCCTATGACTTCAGAACAAGCATCATCCACCACCTGGACTTAACACCAGCACATCCTCT